TGAATCTTTTATTCCCTTGAACTAAGTATATTTGTAAAGTGGATTGAGACCTTTTATATGAACGATATTATATAATAATAATAATAATCCTTGCATTTGATATAGCGCTTTTCACGTCTTCTAGACGTCTCAAAGCGCTTCACAGAATATACTGTAGAGATTGACTTGCATTTGTGATGCCTCCATCTGGCTGAGTTACCCAAAGAGTGAGTAACAATGAGTACTCACAGAGTGAATAACACAGAGTGAGTAACAATGTGGGTATCTGATCCACTGTGTGTCAGATAAACAATTCTCCTGTCATAGTCCTCTGGTGCTACCACAAGGTAAATTAGTTTGCTTGAAATTACTGTGAAATACTAAATTACTAAAAAGATTTGCAGCCCTTTTCCTTTGATCCTTTTCCACTTTAATTGTTTGCAGACAGAGCCACGTAACAGAAATCCACTTCCACTTTGTTTCATACGGGATGGTTTTTTCATCCCACAACTACACTCAAGCTAATAATGATAATCCTTGGATTTGGTAAAGCGTTTTATCACATCTTCAAGATGCCTCAAAGCACTTCACAGGCTATATTGTAAAGTGTAGTGACTATGTATTTGTGGGTGAAACGTGGCAGCCAATTCCGCATAGCAGCATCCCACAATCAGTCATGGATTGAGTGACCAATTTATTATTATCTTTTTTAAGGGATTCAAGTGGGATCTGAAGAGGGGCAAAGGCGGAGGAGGGGTAGAGGCAGAGTCCCACAGTTTCAAGTGTAATAGATGAAAAAGTCCAGCTGTCTCCCCTTCCCCCCTCCACCCCCAACATCTACTGTACAATATATTTTGTGAAGTGCTTAGAGATATGGTGGAGCTGGGGAGACCAGCGAGGAGTGCCTTTGAGTAATCCAGGTGGGAGGTGACAAACGCATTCACAAAGCTTTCGGCTGCATTTGGGGTAAGGTACGGTCGGAGGCAGGCAATGTGGCGGAGGAAGGTGGTCCTGGTCAGGGACTGGATGTGGGGGAGGAAGGACAGCTGGGGTTGAACCAGACGTCTAGATTGTTCACTGGTTCGGTGGGTCTGAGGGGGAGCCCAGGGATGAGGAGGAGTTTAGATCCGCAGGAGTGAAGAGGTTGACGGGAGCCAAAGAGTATGACTTCCGTCTTGTCCACATTCAGCTGCAGGAAGTTTACACTCATTCAGGTCCTGATGTCTATCAGACAAGCTGATAGAACATCGGCAGACCTGGAGTCGATGCTGGAGGAGGCAAAGTAGATTTGTTTGTCATCCGCATAGACATGGAAGTTTACCCCACATTCGATTTTGCTTTCACGAGCATTCTCTTCATGGCAGTTTGTGGGACATTGTGCAAAATTTCTGCACCTTTACCTACAAATTACACAGTCACTACACTCTACAGTAAATCCTGTGAAGCAACTTTGAGACTTTTAATGTTGTGATAAAGTGCTATATCAAAGGCAAGGTTTGTTTATAAATTTTGCTTTCGGTAACTTGGCCATTCGGTGAGCACATTCTCCTACATGTTGCATATAAATCAAAAGAAATTAATTGTAAGTAAGTATCCTGGGTTTACACTGTTTGTTTTGCAAGAAGGTACTTGTTTGTGGATTGATTGCATGTCAAAGACAATGACTCAATACCGTGTCTTTGCTGAGTGAGTAAAGGAATGATTTGCTGTATGTAGTTTAAACAACTTAAAGTGCTGACCGCATCAATGACCCTTAGATCAATACCAGATGTTACTCTTCCTGAAAATAATTTGAAATAATCAGACACGCTGGACACTGAAAGCACTAATCTGTTAGATCTAGACTGTGCATATTCCTGGATTTCCCTATCCCACCCCCAACAAAATCCATTCTGATCACATCCCCCTCCCCCCACCTTCCCTGCCCTCCACCTCTCCTGTTCCTAATCCCCAGTTTGGCTGCAAATCCTTGATTGTCCAGTCCTTTGAGACGTCCTCCCCACATGAAAGGCACAATACATATATAATTTGTTGTTGTTAACAAAGTGGAGAAATATCTCCGGAATATCATGCTCCAGCTACAAGGGAAACAGTGTAGTCAAAAGCAGTGAGTACAGTTCAAGCTTAAGGCAGCAAATGACACTTGGCAAAACCGATAGAAGTTACATCTTTTGTGATAGATACTTTCTGTCAATTCCATACCACAACAACTGGAGCCACAATCTTTATTGGGATTGCTTATTCACTGTAAAGTGAATTGACTGTGGGCGAAACGCGGCAACCAATTGCGCACAGCAATGTCCCACAAACAGTCGTGGATTGAGTGACCAAATTATTATTGGAAAATGGCTACCTATATACACCTTTTGATATAGATACTGCTAACAATTCTGAACATAGAAGCCCAGAACCTGTCTCAGAACATGGACCTAACGAGAGTATATTGTTTGAAGATGCCGAGAATGTCATTAATGTGACTATTTTGAAGATGGCAGGACAATACCTAACCGGCCTATGGATGGCCATATTTTTTCCTTCAGTTTATACAGTTGTTGTTGTAACCTGCCATGATGTGCTACCTCTCTACGCTACAAAACCACTCACTGTACTACTTTCCCATCTTGTTTACGCTGTTCTTTGTACTTCCCCTCATTGTGATCTCAGTCTGCTATGTATCCATTATCCTTACCCTTTCCTCTTCAAATGTGTCAAACAAATGCAAAAAAAACTCATGCCATCGGTTTGGCTGTGATTGTGCTTTTTGTGTTTATTGTCTGTTTTGCACCAACTACTATTCTTCTACTTATACACTACTTGCATTTTTATCACAGTGCAAATGACTCCATCTATTTTGCTTATCTCCTGTGCCTGTGCCCCCTCCTCCTTTAGCTCCCTCCTCCCTCAGTGAGGAGGTTGAACCCAAATTTGTCACTCTTTTGCCTGTTGCTGGAAGGCGCATAATCTCTATGTGCAACACATTAGCAACCAAATGTGAATGTGATATTGGGGAACAAAAGTAATCTGACCATATGATATACAGTGTTAAACAAATCTAGTGCAAAGTAATAATCCCTTAAATTCACCAATAATCCATGCTCTGTGAGCCTAACACCACCGTCCTTGCTCGTCGCCATTGGCTCCCCATCCCCCAGTGGATCGAATTAAAGATCTCACCTTCAAATCCTACCTGGTCTCATCCCACCAAACCTCTGCAACCTCCTTCAATGTTACTGACCCAGACACACCCTTTGCTCATCAAGCGCTGGCCTGCTTTATGCCCCCCACACCCCATCGCTCTGTCCACCCCACCATGTGGTAGGCTTTCAGACATTCTGTTCTCACTCTCCAGAATTTCATCCCAGAATCCCTCCAAGTTGCTCACTCTTTCCTCTCTCTCTCAAAGGCACCTCTTTGACTGTGCTTTCAGTTATCTTTCCCCTCCCCAACCCCAATATGGGTGCCATCCAGCACGGTGAAGCACTTTGATACGTCTTCCCAATCTGAAAGGTGCTTTATAAATGTAAATTGTGTTGTAATTGTTACCTTTTTCTCCCCTGACATTTGTGATAAGATTTCATATTCACATCTTTTAATAAACTACGCAGCGTGGAAAACAAGGAAATGGGTCCTGATTAGACAAATATAAACATAGGCATTTGTTACTTTGTGCGAGCAAATGTCTTCTGATTTCACACTGGTATAAAGGAATCGCAATATCGAAGTGAGCTAAATTCACATAGAGCATCATTCTGTTGAACACCAAATTGTTCTGACAGTCAAAAGTATCAAGAAGAAATTATGTGCTTCCTAGTTCACAAGTGATGAGGAGAGGAATTCTTCAATTTTCTGACTGACTACATGATTCCACCCTAATTAGACACCAGATACCCCCCAACAACTGACTCAAATGCTCATTCTTCATGAGTAGCAGTAGATGATTCAACCAGAATGGGAATGCCCTGGACAGCCTGAACCTGTCCTTATTGGAGCCTGGATACCAGCACATTCCAACAGGCAAGGAGTGGCTGGTCAGGTGTACTTGGGAGGTGCAGATTGGCACTGGGGGCAGAAAAACCTACAAGACAATGTCTTAATCATAACCCAATTCGTTCCCAGACTCGCATCACTGCGACTATTATTTTTGGAATCGCAAAGATGTTCTCTAAACTGCTGCTTTGTGCCAATGAAGGAAGATGAAAAGAATAGCTGGTGTTGGGGTAGCGTTCCTGTGCTTCATGCTAGAAAATTAAATCAAGGTTTAATTTCGTCCTATCAATTGACCACGTCAATTTTCAGCATTGTGAGTTTTTAAAAAAATTGAGTTTGCTTTCGATAGTTTTACTTCCCATTTCTGAGGGGCATTTCCAAGGTGAATAGAAACTGATTTTTAAATTTGGGTTTGTTGAGGTGTAAAGCTGAAATTAGATCAATGAGGAAAAGAGAACAGAATTGGAGAAATAGCAACAGATTATTGAGAACAGAATTAACAATAGTTAATAATAGTTCATTACAATGTTTTAAACATGGTATTATTTGCAACGAAACGCAACATACTGCAGATTTTCATAAAAAATATGAAACAATATGAAACAAAAACCGAAGTTGCTGGGAACACTCAGCAGGTCAGGCAGCATCTATGAAGAAAGGAAAGTGAATCAACCTTTCAGGTCCACGAGCCTTCGTCAGAACGGACGATTCCGTTATTTGCAACTTATTATTTGTTGTTTATGAATGAATTACAATGTTAATGTTACAATCAAAGTGCTGACAGTAGGTGTTACTGATGTTATGCAGAGAGTTGGCTTCGAACTTGAAGAGCATGAGTCGAGAAGCTTAAGAAGACTGGCACTGGGATTTGTATGGACCTTGAAGGAGTGTAAGGGTTAATGGCTGCTGATCACACGCCTCTCACTCACTGGCTGCTCCCTGTTTAATTGGAATAGAGAGGAGAAGGAGGAGGAACAGTCACTCCTCCAATAGCTCATAGATGACTGTACCTGAGAGCAACTGGAAGCGGTTTGCGACAGGAAGAGGAATGAGAAACCTAATCCAGTTTAAACCTTGAAAGCACTCACTGGTCTGTGTCGCCCAGAGGCACCTTTCAGTCCTTTCATCAGTCTTGTGGATTTAGCAGAAGCTGGTTTGTGAGAGCGGCTGGTGCTTGCCTTGCCTTGCCTTGCCTTGCCTTGCCTTGCCTTGCCTTGCTGTCCAGAGCTGAGTGTCTGGGAGATCAGACCAGCAGATGCTCTCCTCGGCCACCATGGGCTGGAAGGTCCAGATCGTGCTCTGCATCGCGTTCCTCTCCGGCGTCTCAGCATCAAATTCGGGTAAGAGAGGCTGGGATCGGGATCGTTATTTGCAACTTATTTTGTTGTGTTGGGCTTAATGTACATGTTACACCCACGTTACTGTCAGTGGGTGTTGCTATTGTTATTTATGGAGTTGGCTTGTACACTCAAGGGGGTGAGTTGAAAAGGGTAAAATAACCCTGGGATACTGGCATTTCTGTGGATCTGGAAGCAGTGTAAAGGGGTAATAACTTGAGATCACAATCCCAGGAGTTGGGTTCGGAAACCCAAACAGGAGTTTCTAATCCTCCCCCCCAATAAAAATTAGTCACTCATTCCATGGCTGTTTGTGGGACACTGCTGCGTGCAACTTGCCTGCGGTGGCGTTTTGCCCACAAAAGATACAGTCGATCCACTTCATAGCTCATCTTCCCCGCAGAGCAAAACGTTGGGCAAGTTTTGTTACTCTACACACCTCTGTTTATCTAGCAGTAAGTAGGAACCCGGTTGTTGGTCGATCTCTTCAATTTAGAAAAAAATCATAATAATTTGGAGACTCAATCCACGACTGTCTGAGGGACACTGCTTGGCTAATTGGCTGATGTGATTCGCCCACAAATATACAGTCAATTCACTTTACAGTCTATTCTGTGAGGTGCTTTGAGACGTCTAGAACACATGAAAAGTACCATATCAAATGCAAGTATTATATTTACTGTATATTCTGTGAAGCGCTTTGAGACGTTTCAATGACATGATTAGGAACTGGGGGTGTTGAAGAGGTCGGAACTTTGGGACAGAAGATGTCAGCGGGAGCCAAAAAGTATGGCTTCCGTTTTGTTGACGTTTAACTGCAGGAAATTTGCGCTCATGCAGCTCTTGATGTCCGGCAGACACTGTACTGACAGAACATCAGGGAACTGGGGATCGCAGCTGGAGGTGAAAAAATAGAGTTGAGTGTCATCCGCATACATGTGGAAGTTAACCCCGTGTCTGCAGTTGACATCACCGAGTGGGAGCGTATAGATGAGGAAGAGAAGGGGACCAAGGATGGATCCCTGGGATACCCCGCAGGTGACCGGGTGGAAGCAAGAAGAAAAGCCATTTGCAGAAATGTAGTGCTGGCGGTTTGTACGGTAGGGCTTGAACCAAGTGAGTGCGCTCCCACTGAGGTGGATGATGGAGGACAGGCGGTGGAGGAGGATGGCGTGATCGACTGTGTCAAACGAGATGGAGCGGTCCAGGAGGATGAGGAGGCAGAGGGAGCCCTAGTCACAGATAGAGAGGATATCATTTGTGACGTTTACAAGCACTGTCTCTGTACTGTGGGCAGGGCGGAAAGGGGTTCGAGTAGGGTGTGGAGGGAGATGTGTGTGTGGTTGGTTGGCAACAACGCTTTCCAGAGTTTTGGCCAGGAAGGGCAGGTTTGAGATAGGATGGTAGTGGCCAAAGTTGGACGGATCGAGGGTAGATTTTTTAAGGAGGGGGGTGATGACCACGGTTTTGAGGGGAAGTGGGACTGATCCTGAGGAGAGAGACCGGTTAATAGTGTCTGCCAACAGTGGGCAGAGGAGGGAGAACTGGGTGATCAGCAGTTGGGTGGGGAGGAGGTTCAAGGCAGCAGGTAGAGGGTTTCATTGTGGTGATGGTGGATGAGAGCGAGGAAGGAGAGATGGAGAAAATGAATGTAGAATGGGGGCCGTGGTAGGAGCTGAGGGTGGGGTGGGTGAGGGAGACAGAATGGGGGTGGTAGGTGACACCGGGCAGAAGGATGAAGCTGCCAGGTGGATGTGAATTTTAGAGGTAAGGAAGTCCATGAGTACATACATAAGAGCCATCCATACCATGATAACAAAGTAATATATAAAAGGTTAGAGAGTCCGGTGCTGGGTTGAAGGCAATCAAGAGAAATCTTTTCCAGCGTCAGGGATAGACATGTATTGTGTCTAACTGCAATCTAATTAAAGTGGACAAAAAATGTAGAAGAGTCAAAAGACCAATGTTGTTGGGGCCTAATGTTTTGTTTACCCAGCCTGTAAATGAGATGCCCTGAGCACAATACAGTATTGTGCTGTGTGGTCATGCTTTATTTGCTGAGAATTACTGGTGTTAGATTTGATTCTGTGGTGAGAAATTATGTAAGTATAAAATAATAAACAATGCCAGGTTTGACTACTATGGGGAGAAATTATTTTGGGAAAATATTTGGAACGAAAAATTATTTTTAAAATGCTTTCATAGGTAAACTGGGATGAAAAAGGAATAATCATAATCAGAGGTCAACCAACACCTACACCCAAAATGGTTGACAGTTGAAAGTATAAGCAACTATTAATGCTATTTTAAGTACAGTACTTTAGAGATCAAAGGAGGGGTTAATGTGCGTATAATAATAATCCTTGCATTTGATTCTAGCGTCTTATCACATCTTCACAACGTCTCAAAGCACTTCACAGAATATATTGTAAAGTGAATTGACTTTATATTTTGTGGGCAAAATGCAGCAGCCAAATGTGCCCAGCAGTGTCCCACAAACAGTTGTGGATTGAAGTGACAATTTTTTCCTTTTTTAAGTAATTATTAACTCCAGAAAAGCGATATTCCAATTGACTAACAACCAGGTTCCTACTAACTGATAGGTAAACAGAGGTGTGTGGAGTAAAGAAACTTGCCCAACTTTTCACCTTGCCGAGAATCAAACCCAGGTATCTCGCTTATGAACTATGTGCTCTAACCACTGAGCTACAGGACTCCACATACTCCAGTATAAAGTGTTCATAGTAATCCTTACATTTAATATTATGTCTTTTATGTCAAGAGACATCTCAAAGATATACTCTATTCTGACTGTTTTTTTGTGTGGGTGAACACACCAGACAAATTACGCACAGAAATGTCCCGAAGCAGCCATAAAAGTGAATGACCGATTTTATTACAAAAATTAATCTATTCTAACCCATTCGGGACTGATACATGATTCCCATGTAGTTAGATCTCATTACAATGTCCTTTTTATGTATGCTGTCACATGAGTCAAGTTGATTGCATTGCCCTTTCAGATTGGTGTGACTCATTGTTAAATAAACTAGGCAACCATAGCGAAAGAAACAGAAAATCAGTGTATTCAAAGGGATTGAATTTATATACTTTGAAGTTTACCGTATCTGGCTTTTAGCTTGAATTTTGATTGTTTCACTTTTTATTTACTAGTATTTCAGCATTGGATGAATTGAAATATGTATGTGATTCAATGTGTTGTAGAGAATTCAAATAATTTATACCCGGGTTTCAGAATTTGATCCTGGCTCGTGACTCTGTTGCTCTGCTCAAGATTTCATTTGAGCTGACATGGCTTTCTCACAACAGGGCACTTCAACTGAGGCACTAAAAAGAATGAAATAGGAATGTAGAAACTACTGTTGAAATAATCAAACAATAACTAACTTTCTGAAACAATTTAGGAATATAAATATAAAGCACAAAATGCAGTTTGAGAAGAGGAAAGAATCTAAGGCATGAAATAAAACTAATAAAAATACCAATTGCATTTGATATTACTCCTTATCATACTGTCGAACCATCTCAACAACAAATTACATTTTGTATAGCGCCTCAAAAGAATTGTTGCAAAGTGTAATGATTGTGAATTTGTTAGCCAGACTGGAATTTCCATAAGAATGAACATTTCAGCAAAATAAAAAACACACACACAAAATAGAAAAGGTTTCTTGAGCTTTTATATAAGAGTAAAGATATCACTTAAAATGATAGTTGTTTGATATAGAACTTTATCTTGTCATCGAAATGTTCAAAACACTTCACACAATTTGTGCTGTAGATTTGCTGTATGTTTTGTTGCTGAACTTATTTTTTAATACTGCACATTATAACCTTATAGGTATTAGCCTGGCTCGGTTGGTAGCACTTTCATCTCTGGATTCAAGCTCCACGTGGGGACTTTGAATTCAGTCTAGCCTAATACTTCAGCACAGTACAAGGGAGAGGTCAACAATATCAGAGGTGCCATCCATCAGATGAGACGTTTATTTCTTCTGTTGTGCGTGGCAAAAAAATCTCCCAGGAAAAAAAAACATTCACTTCATGTCAGTTTCATAGCCTTGGGACGTCCTCCTGACGTGAAAGGCACTAAATAAATGCAATTTGTTGTTGTTTATGTGACATCGCTGCACAAATTGGCTGCTGCATTTGCCTACAAAATACAGTCACTACATTTTACAGTGAATTCTGGAAAGACTCAGAGACATCTCCCCAATGTAAAAGATTCTAGTATCAAATGCAACAATTATGATTATTATTAGCTTGCCAGAAAGTTTCAGTGAGTCCACTGAATCTTGACTCTGATATATTGTTTATAAAGCTCCATGAATGGAAGAAAAATTCAGAAAAATAATAGTTACAGAAAGACATTCCCAAAGATAAGTTTGTATAGAGTGAGTATATCGTGCTAATGCTTTTTCTCGTACTTTTATAACTTGAGTTGTATGTTCATTTCAGATTTGATTCATTTTTCAGATGACAACTCGATCTTTAATGGTACAATCAGGAGTTTTGCTGGAACCAAATGTGGATCTTCTGCTTGTAACAATTCTCAGCACAGAAGGCAAAATTCCGGCTCAGAATACAGACTTAACGAAAGTCTGTATATAAAGTCTGTAAAGTTTGAAGATGCCGAGAAGGCAATTCATGTGAACATTTCGAAGATAGCAGGACAATACCTAACCGGACCGTGGATGACCATATTTATTCCTTCTGTTTATACAGCTGTTATTGCAATGAGTTTGCCTCTCAACTGCTTAGCAATCTTACTGTTCCTGTTTAAACTGAAATTGAAAACGCCGTCCATAATCTTCATGGTGAATTTGGCTATTGCAGATTTACTATTTGTGCTGTTGCTTCCCCTAAAAATCTCCTACCATTTCTCTGGCAATGACTGGGGATTTGGTTCTTTCACGTGCCGAATGGTTACTGGTGGATTTTATGCTTACATGTACTGCTCTGTGCTGCTGATGATGTGCATAAGTGTTGATCGATTTTTTGCTGTGGTTTATCCAATACGCTCAGTCTCATGGCGTAGCCCTAAACGTGCTAGTGTACTTTGCATTGTCATGTGGGTTCTGGCTATCACTGGTGCGTTACCCCTTTTCCTTTCTGAACAAATGGTGTATATCAGCAAACTGAACATTACAACCTGCCATGATGTGCTACCTCTCTCTACGCTACAAAACCACTCACTGTACTACTTTCCCATCTTGTGTACGCTGTTCTTTGTACTTCCCCTCATTGTGACCTCAATCTGCTACATATCCATTATCCTTACTCTTTCCTCTTCAAGTCTGTCGACCAAATGCAAAAAAACTCGTGCCATCAGTTTGGCTGTGCTTGTGCTTTTTGTGTTTATTGTCTGTTTTGCACCAACTAATATTCTTCTACTTATACACTACTTGCATTTTTATCACAGTGCAAGTGACTCGATCTATTTTGCTTATCTCCTGTGCCTGTGCATCGGGAGTGTGAGCTCTTGCATTGACCCTCTGATTTATTATTACGCCTCATCTTTGTGCCAAAAGCATTTGCAGAATCTGCAGTGCTGTGGGCAAGCAACTGAATCTGGGAGTAGTCGGATGGAATGTTTGAATGATAAATTGGGAACCACATCTCCCATTGGTGACATCCACAAACAATTATTAACGTGAACCCCTCACATGGTGTTACACATATAGTATTTATTAGTTAAAGTTACTTTACATAGCAATTTTGCTTTATTCTATATTGCAATCCTTGCTCCTTGAGTAGGTATGTGTATGAATCCAGTGTAGATGTTGTCAGAGACTGAAACTTGGTCAAAATGATGTTGTTCTTGTGGGGGCACTTCTCAGGCTTTCACCCATTTCAGTTTGGTTCTGGATAAAGCACATTCCGGATCATTGTTCAGCGTTAATGCTTTCATAAGCACTTGAACATTTCGATCCCATGCATGGCATAACAACTAGCTTCTTGCAGACATAACATGATGGCATATTTGTCAAGTCATAGAAGAAACTGCTCCTCAGGCTCTTAGTTTTTGTTTAGATTAAATTATGTAGAACATTAAGCCACAGAAACAGGACACTGCCCCAACTAGTTTGGGTTATTGTGTAATCGACTTGAGTCTCCTTTACCATTCCTAATCCTGTCTCCCACACCTCTTTATTCTATTAAATATCAAAATTCAACTTAGTACATATACGAATTAAGTCAGCAATAATGCATTCACTGAAAATGCAGAACTTTTCTGCCTTTATTTGCCAGAAGGATTGCAAATGATCGAACAAATTTATATATTGTACTTTTATAATCAACAAAAATTCCATGGGGAAGGAATCTCCTCACTGTGATTTGGAATGGATTTCATTAGTGAATGCACTTACCTATTGGAAAGTTTTGTATAAGACAACCTTTTGAGCACCTCATTCAAAGAAACATGGAAAACCAGAATGGACAAACATTTCAGATGGGCAGTATTTGGAGTCTTGTAGCTCATTGGTTAGAGCACTCGCTTTGCAAGTGAGAGACTTGGGTTCAATCCCAGCCAGAGGGCGAAACCTTGGGCAAGTTTCCTTACTCCACACAGAGCCTAGTAATAATCCCTCCAAAACCCAAAACAATAATAAATTGGTCATCTTCAATCTACGACTGTTTGTGGGACATTTCTGTGCGCAATTGGCTGCCGCGTTCACCCACAAATATACAGTCAATTCACTTTACAGTATATTCTGTGAAGCGCTTTGGGACCTCCTCCCGACGTGAAAAGCGCTATATCAAATGCAAGGATTATTATTATTATTATTGTGTTACAACAACAAAATTACATTTGTAAAGCGCTTTTCACGTCAGGAGAACATCCCGAGGCTCTGAAATAATATATTATATTATTGTCCACAGTACTTTGAGTCAACACACAACCAAGAAGCATAGAAGCATAACTGTAAGAGGAGTGCAAACCAAAATGCCACATTACAGGAACCAGAAAACCTGAAGACTTTCAAATTATATTTACTGTTGCACCAAACTGTTGAGTGGTTTAAAAAAGGAAAATGATGTTGAAATCTTTCAAATGAATGAAATGTACTATTTCAGGTTTGCAATGAAGAAAGATTTACTTGTTGAGTTCTATTACAAGTTTTCAGAACAAGAATGAAACTGGATATCATGATGATGATGCTTGTTGTTCACATTCTTTATCGCTATTTTTACCATTTTGTATCTAATATTTAAATATATTTTTTCAAATAAATTGAACGAAATGAAAAAGTAAAAACTTTGCAAATGTTTACTGCTACTTCAGCAATCTTATCATGTAAATATGTATCACAAACCTATTCATAGATTGAGCATATGACTTTCTGTGTAGAGGATGGCTCAGTTGATAGCAATCTCATCTCAGAGACAGAAGATTGTAAATTTTAAGACTCACCGCAGGACTTTGAGCTTATTGTCTGGAAGGTGCTGCCTTATGCTAATAAGATGTTAAAAATTGAGCTGCCCATCTGCCAGTTCAGTTGAATGTTAAATATCCCATGGTACTGTTCAGAAATAAAGAGGGGTCTCTCTTGGTATTCTGGCCAACGACCTCAGATAGAATTTTTCATTTATTTCATGGCTGTTTATGGGATATTTTTGTCTGCAAATTGTTTGGCATGTTCGCCTATAAAATATAGTCCCTACACTTTATAGGCGATGGTGTGAACCTCTTTGACACATCCTCCCAGTGTGAAAGGCACCATATTAAATGCAAGGATTATTATTTTTTATTTTATTTATCTCCAGAGACCCATTCTCAGCACATTGATGATTCCAATCAGATATTAAATGCACTCTGTTTGGCAGCGGCTAACCTATCTCCTGTTGAAATTTCCCTGTCTTAAAAAGGTTATTTAAGAATGTACAATATGCAAGTTTGCTTCCAGTTGAAGTATGTGCGTCAGGCAGATAAAATATTTAATAAGTGGCCTGAAAGTCTCAAATGGGAGAAGTACTGTATTAATATTGTGTAAGCCTATCCACTCTAACAATAATAATGCAAATCTTTACAGCACAAACTAGTTTTATTTGAATTCTATCTCGGCAAGACAAAGTGTTGACTTCTAGTTCAGAACAAAAGAGCTACTGATTCATTTCCACAAGTCCAGTGTCATTTGTTGAAGTAAAGTTAGATTATATTGTTGTTTTGTTTTATGTGCAGTCCACTGGGTCCCATCTCCTGACAGATCCATTGATCCATTACCTCCATTGCCAAGCCCCACCATACCACTCCCACCTTCTGTGACTGTACAGGCCCAGATCCTCCCTCTGCACAGCTATCACTAACCACTTTCATCTCCCTTCCTGTATGCCTCGCCACTGATGGGCAAGTTTTCTGCTATGCTGCCCCCTTGCTGTGGAACTCAATCCCTGTGTCCCTCCTTCTTGCCCCTCCCTCTCCACCTTCAAAACAACAACAAAAGCAACAAACAACAAAATTACATTTGTACAGCACCTTTCACATCAGGAGGACGTCCCAAGTCGTTGGACAGACAAAGTTATGGACCCGAGCTGGGGTCGGTGTGGGTGAGGGTGGAGGGCAGGGGGGGAAACAGGGAGCTCGAAAGCACGGTCGAAGAGGAGGGTCTTGAGATGGGTCTTGAAGGTGGCAAGGGAGGGGATGAGGTTGAGGGACTGCGAGATGGAGTTCCAGAGGGTGAGGGCAGAGTGGCAGAAGGTCCGCTCACCAACAGTGGGGCGAGCGAGGCAGGGGACGTGAAGCAGGCCGGAACCCGCTGAGTGGAGGGAGCGAGCAGGATGGGGTAGGGGGTTAGGAGGTCCCGGAGGTAGGGGGGAGCAAGACCATGGAGGGCTTTGAAGGTGAGGACCAGGATTTTGAACTGTATCCTCTGTGTGATGGGAAGTCAGAGGAGTTGGGTAAGGATGGGGGTGATAGAGTCACGGAGCCTGGTGCGGGAGAGGACACAGGCTGCAGAGTTCTGGATGATCTCCAGTCTATGGAGGGAGGAGTTGTAGATACCGAAAAGCAATGAGTTTGCATAGTCGAGCCTCGATGTAATGAAAGCATATATAAGGGTTTCGGTGGCCTGCGGTGTGAGACAGTGGCGGAGGTGGGCGATGTTGCGGAGGTGGATAAAGGTAGAGTGGGTCATGGTGGAGATGTGGGGTAGAAAGGATAGTTGAGGGTCAAACAAGACCCCAAGGTTCCGGACTGGTTTAGCAAGGTACAGTGTGCAACCGTGGATGGTGATGCTGTCAGTGCCTGAGGTGAGGAGGCGCTGAGGGGAGCCAATCAAGAGGGCCTCGGTCTTGTTGACGTCCAACTGAAGAAAGTTAGCTCTCATCCAGGACTTGATGTTTGACAGACATTCTGTCACGACAGCAGTAGTCCTGAAATCAAGGGTGGAGGCAGAGAGGTGGAGTTGGGTGTCATCCACATATATGTGGAAGTTGACCCCATATCTGCGGATGATGTCACCAAGAGGGAGCATATAGATATTGAAGAGGAGGGGACCAAGGACAGAGCCCTGAGGAACACCACACAAGACGATGTGGGGGCTAGAGGAGAAACCATTTGTGGAGATGAAGTGGAAGCGTTGTGAGAGATACAATCTGAAACAGTGAAGGACAGAGCTGTGAAGGTTGAAGTGAGAGGAGAGTCAGTGGAATGAGGATAGAGTGGTCGACGGTGTCGAAAGCAGCAGAGAGGTCAAGGAGGACGAGGAGGCAGAGGGAGCCCTGGTCGCAGATGGACAGAATGTCATTTGTCACTTTGACCAAAGCTGTTTCTGTGCTGTGGGCGACACGGAAACCCAATTGGAGGGGTTCGAGAAGGGAATGGCGGGACAGGAAGGAACGAAGCTGAGAAGCAACAACTCATTCTAGGACCTTGGAGAGGAAAGGGAGGTTGGACACCTGCCTTAAGATCTATTTATTCTATGTACTATTGGCCTGCTTCCCCCACCCCCTCCCACAAGCTTCTCCTCCCTCAGCTCCATCTTCACTCAGCCGGGGGTGTGGGGGTGGGGGATCTTTTAAGCCATGACTGAAGACCTTCCTCTTCGACTGTCACCTCTACGGTCACCTCCTTCATCCCCCTGGCTCGGTGTCAGACTCTGCCATTGTTAAGTGCGCCGAGATGCTGTCCCATGTGCAGAGCGCTATATAAATGCAAGTTGTTGTTGTGTCAGACTCCCTGACAGCTGTGTGAATTGCTTTGACACATCCTACAATAACTGTGCTATGTGAAGGTAAATTGCTGTTTTGACTATCTTCAAAATAAAGATTTGCTATAAAGCCACATTTAGGGTGCATTGATGAACAGTGATGCTATCAATGCCTGAGGTGCGGAGGTACTGACGGGAGCCAAACCAGAGGGCCTCTGTTTTGTCAACTTGGTTCACACAAACCGAAAAATTTCCTTTGCCACAATAAATAAGTAAAGTGAAGTATGAGTTTTTACTCAGAATAAGCAAAATATTGTTGTTTTCTACAGTTCCACATGGAAAAGCTGACATCATTTACTTTTCTTCTCACATATCATTCTCTGGTGGAACTAACCTAGCCGGTTTCCTGAAATAACTGAAAACAATTGTACACTACCCGAACACAATTTACATGTATATAGCGCCTATTTTATCAGGAAGCCACCTGAAAGTGCTTCACAGTTGTGGTGGCAGGAGTGGGGGTGGGTTGATAAGCAAATCTTCTTAGAGCTGAACTAGTAACCAGGTGAGGTGCTTACTACTGGAATATCGGAATTGAGGCAATCCTCTGCAGTGGCCTCAGATAGACCAGTTCCTCAGCCAGGGCAGATCCATAGTACGCCTAGACACGACTGATGTCAAACAAGCAACCTGATTCATCAGCAGGACTTGGGAAATCCAGACTGGCACTGGGGGCAAGGAACCTTGCACGTCACTCAGTTGGGGGTGTGGGAGGTTGGGGGGGCTGGGTCTTTTAAGCCATGACTGAAGACCTTCCTCTTCGACCGTCACCTCTACGGTCACCTCCTCCCTCCTCCCTCCTATACAAATGTAATTTTGTTGTTGTTGTTATGGGTATGGTAGTTCTCGCTGGATAAGAAGCGGGTGCTTGCCAGCCAGTGCTCTCAATGGCAAATTATATGGTTTTAGTTGATAGAAACTCTTGGTTCTTACTAAGCTGGGCCCAATAATTTGTGGAATTAGGCCACTCCCTGCAACTCTCAGGGAGTGGCCATTCCATTTCAGATATGTGTACATGGTATGCATTTGTGAAACTTCTTATGTTTGGTCTCAATACCAAGATTTTATCTGAATATACAATAACAAGAACTGCGATTGCTTCACGTCAGTCTGTGAAGAGATTGGAATCTTTTTATTCCTGGGGAAGGGGGAAGGGGGAAACATCCTAGATTTCTCTTTGATTGACTTTTGTTTTTGGTCAGCCGGGCGTCTGACGCAGGCGGAAACCCATCACCATGCTTAAGAGGAATTGATTGATTCAAAGCAGAGTATTACTGATTGACTCGCTGTGCATTCCCAGCATTTTCTGTTTCAATTTCCAATTCAGGCTGCAAGAAAAGGATTGGGAATGCGGATAAACGGTAGCCTGTTTTTTTTAAATTACAGCCTCCGATGGGACATTAAAGCTCTGCCTTTCGTTTTATAAAAAAAAAGGCAGAATTTTTTGCCCGTTTGCCTATGCTATGCTGCATTCTTTTTAATAAAACAACGTGAGTAAAATTGCTGAAGACCGATCCGAACAAATCAACTTTCAAACTTGGTGGAGAGCAAAACACAAAAGTCATACTATCAGCAAACAGTTGAGGTTTGTTAAGCTGCGAGGAGGTGATATTTTGGAAATGGCCATATAAAGACCGGGATCGGTGGGGTTAACTATAGATTAGCAAATTAATGCATTCGGGGGTCTTTTAAATGGCAATGCAATACTGCAACGCTAAGGAGAGGGCAGCAAAAGGGTGGGCAGCGAGTGACTCAGTTCCCTGTGAGTGTATTCTCTACACGTTCCACATGTTCTGTGAGAAGAGGGAGGATCTTGAATGTAATTCTTATCGCATCAGATTAGACCTTTCCCCCCCATCCCTCCTGCAAAGTTCCTGGCAGTCAATCCCAATAACGCACTCGTGATAATCATAATTACTATTATTATTATTATTATTATTATCATCATCATCGTTGCAACACACTGGAAAATGCGCCCTTGAAAGTTGCCACATTGCACCGAACTCCGCGCAACGGCTTTGCTGCGAGTTGTTACCCCCGAAGCGACGAAGATTTCTTTCCCGTTTCTCGCCGCTGCGCCACTCCCAAAAGGGAAATAGGTTTGGAATCGTTTCACGGGGATCGCATCTTTTACACCTTTGGTACCGGCGATCTCACCCCCAAAAAATATCGCCTCCGCTCTGCAGTCTATGCTCGTGTTTGCAAAGGCGGTTGTGGCACAGCAGTGGTCTCCGGAGGGGGACGACGAGGGCACTTGGGGAGTAATTGCACGAACTTGGGATCCGGTTTGTGCACAAGTGTCTCTCTTTGCTTCAAACGCTTCCCGGAATCGATGGGTTCGTTATCTGATCACCGGAGCTGAGAGTCGCCACGTTTGGATCGGATCAGAAGAACGTCACTCAGGAATGCGGAGCCGAGAGTGAGAGAGTGAGACAGACAGAGAGAGAGAGAGAGAGAGAGTGAAGTCCGGACTGATCTGCTCCGAGGGCAGAGCGTGTGAGCATCGCCACAAACTGAGCCCCAGCATCGCAGCAGCAGCAGCAGCAGCAGTAGCAGTAGCAGCAGCAGCAGTAGCAGTAGCCATCGTCTGCGCGGCCACTTGGCGTCGATTGCCCCGGAGTTCGCCGGTGGAAGAGACTGATTCGGGATCGCAGTTCGGAGCAGCACAAAGCCCTGTGGCTTTCTCATTCCCCCCCGACAGTATGGGTGGGGGAGTGGGGCTTGTGCTCTGCATCGCGCTGCTCCGCGCTGTGTCGGCTCGAAATCCTGGTAAGAGCACTGCTGCCTTTACACAAGGATTACACCCCAATCACTTGCCAACAATTATTTGCTGTGCGGGGGGGGGGGGGGGACACACAATGTTTTGCCCCCCAAAAAGGATAATAATAATAATAATAATCCTTGCATTTGATATAGCGCTTTTCACGGGAACACACTGTAAAGTGAATTGACTGTATATTTGTGGGCGAACGCGGCAGCCAATTGCGCACAGCAATGTCCCACAAACAGTCGTAGATTGAAAATGACCAATTTATTATTGTTTTCGTTTTTTGGAGGGATTATTATTAGGTGTGTGGAGTAAGGAAACTTGCCCAAGGTTTCACACTGCCTGGAATTGAACTCGATTTTAACGGCGTAGTCCCGAAATAAACAGGGAATACGAACAGTGGAATAAGGTTGGGAGTCCGGAGAGTGGAGGCATTGGGCAGACTTTGGTTTTCTGATTTGATTCAACACATTTATTTATCTGTTCCATGAATGGATCATTTTTTTTNGGTGGGGGAGATCATTTGTTGGGCTAAGTGAGTGTGTGCGTGAAACTTTCGCCATGAATGGTTTCCATGGTTTGTTTAACTGTTGGATCCTCAATTGTCCCTAAACAAAAGTACAGGGTTTAAGAGCAGAGTTTGAGGAGGGATCTGCAGCGTTGCTTCTTTCAAACAGAGATTTGATAGTTTTCTTTCAGGAAATAACATTATGGGATGTAGTTTGGGAGATATGTGAAAGGCAAACTAGATGGATCTTGGTGACTTTTCGTCTAGCATTTCTCATGTTGTTATGTTCTCTCACAGACAAGTGCTGGCAATCTGGTCCATTTCTCATGATTGTTATTTATGCACGGATCAGGATTAACCACTGATTTATAATAATATAATAATCTTTGCATTTTTATATAGCCCCTTATCACATCGTTGAGACATCAAAATATAAAGTCAATTCACTTTACAGTACATTCTGTGAAGCGCTTTGAGATGTCTCGACGACGTGATAAGTGCTATATCAAATACAAGGATTATTATTATTCAGTTTTGATCCAAGGTTGGAAGGTAAAAACAAATCTAAACCTTTGAAACAAAACCAAAATTACTAGAAATTTGTACCAAGACAATCAGGATATGATAGAGAAACACAGATTAACGTTTCTTCAATCTATATTGGAACATTTAAATGATACAGGGGTTTTCTCTTACTTTTAAAATCCTATCTCCTTTCTGACCAAGTGCTCTGCCCCTTTCACTTGTTTTCAGAGTTTGAATGCTGAATGCGTCACTGAGCCCATGGAATTCACAAAGAAAATATAAACAGTTGCCTGTTTCTGCAAAGAATCAGTAATTCACTACTGACAGCAAGTTTAAAAAAACATTGGACTGTCAAGTTTTTGGGGAAACTACAAGAGGCTGTTTAGTGTTTCCTCTGAAAAACTCATGGCTTTGGTGATAACTCTTCATTTTTGACACTAGGATAGAAGAAATAAGCATTGCATCTGATAATGTGTTTTATCAGGTGGTTGTGACATTTGAAAGTGGTTCGCAAGATTTTACTGTAAAGTGATTAACTGTGCATTTGTAGGCAAACACACCAGTCAATTTGTGCACAGCAGTGTCCTACAAACAGCCACAAAGTAAATGACCAATTTTATTTGGGGGGATTATTTGGCCATGGTACCTCATTTAAGGCAGCAAACAATCTGACAGTATATAAGAAGTTATAAATATTTTACATAACTTGTACAACAATCTAGAACAACATTATTGAGGTTTAACTCTTTCTGTACTTTATCTTGATGGATTTATACTCAGAGGAAAGCAAGAAAATGCACAGAATGGTTTGAAATGTGAAAAATCTTAAGGATGATTTCCAGGAGGAAACATATTAGGCTGCTGAAGCACAGCTTCTCCTAAAATACAACAGCTAACCCCTGTAAATTAGTAGTGTTTACTACTCTCCTGCCTGTGTTTACGTCATTGGAGCCTTAAATGAGGAAGGCAATGAAGTGGATTAATCAACGAGTAAACAATCTGACTCACTCTAGTAATTACAGGATTGCGCTCAAGGGTGAAAACGTGGATGTCTGCAGTGCAAACTCTGTGCCTTGAGGCATCCACCTGACTTGAAAGGTGCTACACAAATATAACTCGTTGTTGTTGCTGTTGCTGCATAATCTCAGAGCAAAATAAGTTGAACAATCAAATAATGTTTTATTTCTTTATTATTATCATTGACTGGTATTGCCTTAATAAGTCTTGCCTAAAAGTAATTTGTTATGTGTATATAAAATATATTTTTTAAAAATTAAAATGCATTTAAAATTACGTTTAGAATATATGATTTGGAAAAGTGATATTTTCTCCTCAATAATCACATAGAGAAATAGGAACTACTTTTGCAATTAGTTGTATTCAGTCATAAATAGTGATTTAAAACAGATCTTTATTTTCCAGTCACAGACTTATCATCTTATTGTGTATGATGAAAAAATAATAAAATCAATATTTGTATATTCTGACTTTACTTCGTACAGAGTAATCCTGACCTCTAGTCACCTTGTTGATATATAAACAGCCCCGGAACACTGGGGCTGCAGCATAAGGCTTTTCCTTCTCAGGACAATTCAGCTGCAATTCAGCTACAAATATATATTGATGCAAGAGATTTAACTCCAAATTTACCTCAAGCAATCCTGTGGATAAAATCATTCACTTCATAGCTGTTTGTGGGACAAAGCTGTGAGCAAGTTGGCTGATACGTTTACTTGTAAAATACACAGTCACTACACTTCACAAAGCAGTGAAGCACTTTGACAGGTTTCAATGATGTTACAAAGTGGTATAACAAATGGTAGGTAACAGAAGCATCTGGGCAAATCCTGTGGGTAAAAATTCCATTTAGTATTACGTACCATGCAACAGATTGGAACCATTATTTACAGCAGTTTCATTAACCCAAGAAAGTGTATAAACATCCTATGTGTAACATTGTCATTTATCATTGTCTCCCCAAACTGGAAAACTGTACAATATTTTTATTATTGAATCATCAGATGAGGATTTTTGTTTCTCAGGTAACTCATCAAAGGCAGTAGCCCCTCCTAGAAGCTTTGGAGGTATTATTCAACTCTCTGAATATATTGATCTTGCACTTATCGAAGGTGAAGATTCAGGTCAGTTCAGCGGAAGTGGATCGAAAGATGCTCCTGGAATTGATTCTGATGAAAATAAAGTCATGGATTCTGTCAAAGACTCGAAGAAACCCAATCTACATTATGTGGCTATTTCGAAGATAACAGGACAATATCTAACCGGGCCATGGATGACCATATTTATTCCTTCAATTTATACAGCTGTTATTGCAATGAGTTTGCCTCTCAATTGCTTAGCAATCTTACTGTTCCTGTTTAAACTGAAATTGAAAACCCCGTCCGTAATCTTCATGGTGAATTTGGCTATTGCAGATTTACTATTTGTGCTGTTGCTTCCCCTAAAAATCTCCTACCATTTCTCTGGCAATGACTGGGGATTTGGTTCTTTCACGTGCCGAATGGTTACTGGTGGATTTTATGCTTACATGTACTGCTCTGTGCTGCTGATGATGTGCATAAGTGTTGATCGATTTTTTGCTGTGGTTTATCCAATACGCTCAGTCTCATGGCGTAGCCCTAAACGTGCTAGTGTACTTTGCATTGTCATGTGGGTTCTGGCTATCACTGGTGCGTTACCCCTTTTCCTTTCTGAACAAATGGTGTATATCAGCAAACTGAACATTACAACCTGCCATGATGTGCTACCTCTCTCTACGCTACAAAACCACTCACTGTACTACTTTCCCATCTTGTGTACGCTGTTCTTTGTACTTCCCCTCATTGTGACCTCAATCTGCTACATATCCATTATCCTTACTCTTTCCTCTTCAAGTCTGTCGACCAAATGCAAAAAAACTCGTGCCATCGGTTTGGCTGTGATTGTGCTTTTTGTGTTTATTGTCTGTTTTGCACCAACTAATATTCTTCTACTTATACACTACTTGCACTTTTATCACAGTGCAAGTGACTCAATGTATTTTGCTTATCTCCTGTGCCTGTGCATCGGGAGTGTGAGCTCTTGCATTGACCCTCTGATTTATTATTACGCCTCATCTTTGTGCCAAAAGCATTTGCAGAGTCTGCAGTGCTGTGGGCAAGCAACTGAATCTGGGAGTAGTCAGACAGAATGCAAGAACAGTAAAACAGGGAGCTCCACTGATACTGTCTCCCAGAAATTACTTATCTAAATTGATTACATTGCCACTTACTGAATTAGTATTCTTTATTTAATGACATTACGATATAGATTTCACAATTCTGTGACAATATCATCTTATTGTATACCTTCATTGCACAGAGTTATTCTACATCCATATAATACCTTAACTTTACCTGTGAGAAAAGAACAATCCCTGCATTTAAGTTTAAATTATTTTCTTCAAGTAACATTTATTTTCTTCATAGAGTATATCTCATTATGTGTTGTTTGACTTTTGAGTACGTCCAGACCCACATTGGCAACAGAAATTCCAAGTCTTGATGTAATTGTATTTAAAGTGACTTTAACCCCTGCCCTGAACTTCAGTATTATGCATTCCATAAATGCCTTTTCTTGCCATGTTCGTCCAGTCAATGGGTCTGGTTACCTTGAGTTTAGAACATAAACATTAATGTGTTGGATAGTGTAGTTCCTTTTTTGCTTACTTTGCTTCTAAAATACTTAGCAAAATGTTAAGATTACAGTTGACTGCAATTTCAAAATTGTAAATGTAATTGGCTGGCTCCAATTCCATTCTTTCTTCACTTTCTTTTGTCATATTTAGGGCTGGCTCTGATTGTTATAATAACTAGTAGATGGAATTTCATACTCTAAATGAAAAAAATATATTTGCAAAGTTGTAGTTAGCAATAGTTAAAGAAGTCAAGCATATTTCTGGTAGAAACCAATCTCATTTATTCATACATAGCACAAACTCAATGAAGAAGACATTTTACAATACTACATAGCATTGTTAAGGGTTTACTGCAACCCAGATTTCAACTGTGTCCAAGCTTCATACGTTATTTTCAATTTACAAAAATTGTTTCCAATAACATTCTTAAATATTAACATGAAATATTAATATGCTCTGTAAAACCTCTGAACCATCTGGTTAACCATCTGAATATTATTATTCTATTTGATAAGCAAGAATGTTAATCCATGTGTGTTTGTTGGATATTATATACTATGTCTATGTAACACTAAAATTTGTTGATGCTCCATGCATTTCCTATTGATGGACAAAACTCTAAAGGCTCATTTAATAAGATATGTGAAGTAATTTATGTGTTACTTTGCTTTCCGCTTATTTTACACAGTATATAAGATTGTAACCAGATTATGTTTAAGTGTGTTTCATCAATTATTGCATACATGTAGCATTCTTAGATTTCAAAAAAATTTAGAAATTCAGGCTAATGATATTAAAAATGATTTTATTACTTCAAACCATTCCACGATTGCTCCTCCAGTTACTCAAATAAACGGCCCCCCGAGGGGGAAAGTTTTAGAAGATTGTTTCCAGGTTTGTAAAGAACATAAATACTGCATACTTTATAAGGTTATATAATAGGAGAATGATAAGAGTACATATTAGCAATTCTGCTGCATTGGCGAAAAGGGAATCTGGAGGCGATTTTCGGGGCTTTTTTAATCATGAATGTAAAAGCAATTTGTTCCAACACAAAGCTGCTCAGTATTTTTGTAAAAATCATATTTAATTTGTGAGGTAAAAGGGAAATTCCATCCACAAGGGTTTTACGCAGCAAAGATAAGAGAATATATACTGTTTCACTGCAAATAAGATTTGTTAAAACTAAAAATACAAGTTAAAGTGGAAACTATTGAGGTTAAACAATCCTGCCCAGGAAGTGATTAATTTCCTTCTCCCCAATCCAAATAAATAGCTAAGTCTCTTACTATACTTAAGGAAAACCTCCAGCAGCTAATAACTATTATGAAAATACAGCTCTAACTCTTATCGCTACGGATAATCGGTTTTAAACTCTGGCGACTTATCTTTCAAAAGGACATTGATGGATTAGAAGGAATTTGGAGAACAGCAACAAAGATAATTCCTGGATAAGATGCTGTAAATTTATAGAATTCAATTTGATTTCATTAGTGGAAAGAGGTACAAGGTTTTTAACCCCTAGGACATCTCTAAGACGAAAACCTATTTGGATTTATCTGTGAGTTATCTATCTCATCAGAGGGGGCCAAGCACTAAATATCACAGCAAATACATCAGAAGACTGATCCGGGCAACTCCATCACACAATTGGGTCAAAGAGTACAATACAATGTAGGTTTACGAGGCTGGCAGGTTACTGCTATCAGGATAGACTGGATAGGTTGGACATTTTTTTGCTAGAAAAGAGATGTTTAAGGGGGAACATAACAGAAGTGTTTAAAATTATAAAAGGGTTTGATAAGGTTAACATAAATAGGCCATTTCCACTGGTTGGGGAGTCCATAACCATGGGACACAAATAGAACACCAGCTTGCACTTATATAGCATCCTCCACACAGGGTAGCATCTCGAGCGCTTAAAATATGAAAGGTACTGGGGATCAAAAAGAGAATTTTGGAGGAGAACTCATGCAGAGGGTAGTGAGATTGTGGAATTCGCTGCCTGAAGTGACAGTTGAATTAAATAATGGGGAAGCTTTCAAGAGGAATGAAGGAGAGGGGAATAAAAAGGTATGGGAAGGAGTAAAGGAATGGGTGAAGACTCATGGAGTATAAACATTGGCACAGATTGGTTGGGCCATGTGGCTTGTTTCCATGCTGTACATTCTTTGTGAATCTTTAATGACTTGATATTTCATTCACTGACTTAAAGAAAACTCGTGTTTGGAGCTGTTCTGTAGCTGATCAGGGCTAAGTTTTTATCAGTGAAGGACATAGCTCACAAATGGAGATCAAATGTATAGAAACAGAGAAATAAGCTATGATTTAAAAATAAATGAAGTAAATATTTGTAAAGTTATCAGCATAAGTAAGAAATTACGTGAAAGTTGAAAATAGTTCAAAGTCTTTTTTTCAAAACCTGATGCACAAGAAGATAACATTCTCTGCAGCTGGCAATTTAAGGATTAGGTGTTAAACTGGGTAGAATGATGTAGGTGGAAGCAGATCATTAATTTGGGCTGTGTATTCGGAACTAGAAAATGCTTATATAAAATTAATAACCCGCTAAACTCTGTGTTTAATAACTGCTTCACGAAAGAGTGAAGTAAATACCTAAGAAAAGTATGGTTTTAAGGATGAGATTTTTGGAGTTAATAAATAATAATAATTCTTGCATTTCACATCAGGTGAATGTCTCAAAGCACTTCACAGAATCTACTGATTACTGACTATGTATTTTGTAGGCGAATGCGGTAACAAATTTGAATTATCAATCAATTATTCCAGGAAATCCAATGAAAATATAATTTGTGGTAAGTTGCCAGGTAGGGTGGAACACAACAACATTACATTTGTATAGTGCCTTTCATGTCAGAAGGACGTCCCAAGGCGCTGGATAATCAGTCTAAACAAAGGGCAAAATACTGCAGATGCTGGAAATCTGAAACAAAAACAGAAGTTGCTGGGAACACTCAGCAGATCAGGCAGCATCTATGAAGAGAGTAAAGTGAGTCACCGTTTTGGGTCCATGACCCTTCGTCAAAACTAGGGCATGTTGGGAGGGAGAGGCTTTTAAGGGCTAACAGAGAGGGGGAGGCAGGGCAAGGAAGACAAAGGAGAAAATGGGGTAGAGGACAGGGGATAATGAGTTAAAGAGGTTTCAATGATGCAAAACAAAGGAGGGGATTACGACAAAGCGGGGGAATAGGGGTGTTAATACTGCAGAATAAAGCAGGGGAAGGATTACAACAAAATAGGCAGACTGGAGAGAAAAGGTGTGTCTGGGATCAAGATGACGGTCCCAGACACAGAAGAGGAGGGGGAAGGTGAGCTGTTATGGTCTGAAATTGTTGAATTCAATATTGAGGCCAGAGGGCTGTAAGGTCCCCAGCAGATAAATAAGGTGCTGTTGAGCTTGCACTGTGCCTCATTGGAACAGCGTTGGAGACCATGGGTGGTCCTGTAGCTCAGTGGTCAGAGCACTCGCTTTGCAAGCGAGAGACCTGAGTTCAATTCCAGGCAGGTCAGAGCGAAACCTTGGGCAAGTTTCCTTACTCCACACGCCTAATAATAAAACCCTCCAAAACCAAAAACAATAATGAATTGGTCATTTTCAATCTACGACTGTTTGTGGGACATTGCTGTGCGCAATTGGCTGCCGCGTTCGCCCACAAATATACAGTCAATTCACTTTACAGTGTGTTCTGTAAAGCGCTTTGGGACGTCCTCCCGACGTGAAAAGCGCTATACCAAATGCAAGGATTATTATTATTATGGGTGGAGAGGTCAGAGTGCGAGAGGGAGAGTTGAAGGGGCAAGAAACCGGAAGCTCAGGGTTGTGCTGGTGGACAAAAGCCTCGCCCTCCCAACATGCCCCATTTCTGACCAAGGGTTGTGGACCTGAAATGTTGACTCACTTTCCTTTCTCCATAGATGCTGCCTAACCTGCCGAGTGTACCCAGCAACTTCTGTTTTTGTTTCAGATTTCCAGCATCTGCAGCATTTTGTGGCTGAATCAATGTTTCGGACCCAAGCTGGGGGTTGGGATTGGGGAGGGTGGAGGGCACGGGGGGAAGGAGGGTGATCAAAGACACGGACGAAGAGGACGGTCTTGAAGGAGGTAAAGGAGGTGGCAAGTGAGGGACAAATGGTAGAGATAGTGGCATTGTTGCAATGAATCTCCCACCCTGCCAATTGCCTCCTTCAGTCATCAAACCCTTCCCCATCTTGCATCATTTAATCTGCTTTCATTTAATCTTTTGTCAAAAATAAATATACAGATGTACATGGTATACACATGCAGCACTAAAAACATGACTTAGGCAATAAGAAACTTCTGACCTAATCTATTAACGAGACAGCTTTACTGTCTACGCAGACACTGAACCCACATGACAGCATTTAGCAAGTTCCTAGAATCTATAAAGTATGAATTGCGTCACAATTGCATGATTTGCCTTCCTTGCTTAGCAGTTTGTGATTAAAGTATGTAAGTAGTTATACTCCCTCCACATTTTGAATCAAGCTACTAATGTATTTTTCTTTATTATTACTACTTAAAAGTGAAGGCCCAGGACAGGAGAAGTAAGTTCAATAAATTAAATTATATAGCGTGTAGTACACTTGTACAATTGTGCCTCTGGCTCTGTGCACAGAAGTATGTATTTGCACTTTCTGAAATCTGACCCAGATACATGTTTTAAGCCAACTTTACATGCCTTATTCAAATCTAATTTCTGATAGGGTTGATTCAGCATGGACTTTGATAAGCACTGAGCAGCTCGATAAACATACAAAGTTCATTGCTAGTGGAGGGCTGAAGGGGAAGGAGCTCGGAGGACTCAAGGACATTTTTAAAGGAGTGAGGGGGAGCTTTCCGGGGATGGAACAGGGTAGTGCCTGGCTTGGAAGCAGGGAATTGAATACGAGAGATGAAGGCATGGTCTGAGATAGCATTGCCTTTCAATGGCTAAAGAACGTCTTGAAAGAAAACCTTACATTCCGGTTATTCCTCTTCTGAGTAAAATAAAGGCTGGCTCTTCAGATCTCATGTTCTTTCCACCTCCTGATCTAACACCCTGATCCCTGTGACTGATAAAGAGGTATTTTGAAAGAATTTGTTTGTAGGTTCTGGATATCACTTCGAAGAATTTAACTGTAAATATAAGAAAGGTCTTAGTATCCCAAACTAGGAGAATAATTTAGTTAGTTAGCCATGTTACATTGATTCTGATTGGCTTCACCCGAATTAGCAAATCCAGTTGATTAATGATTGAGAGAGTTAAACACAATAAACTGGATTATTTCATTTACAATAAACGATCTGAATATGGATAGGTGCAACTCACAACTAACAGGAAGGGTGTGCAATACTGCAGTAAAATATGGTGCAATTCTATTTGGAGGATGCAGACAGAACAGAATGATGTGAGTGGGGAGAAACGTATTGCAATATTTAAATTGCTTCTAATATGTTTGTAATAAGTTCTAGCAGATTTTTCTCTGGTAAAACTTTTGTTAAAAATAAAACTTTGAAGTATGCTCAAAAGCAGAACTTTTCGAAGCATTATTACCCAATAAATGTCCTTGTTTTTTTTGATTATCTCAGAAGTTTTAAAGCAGTGAGACATGAATTGAATTCAATTTGCTGATGAATTTAAAATTATATTAACATTTTGGAAAAATCCCAGTAATTTATGTGAGTGAACAAGTCATACCATGTTTAAATGGTGAAAAGAACTCTTCCATAAACTGCAGTTGTTCAAGAAACTGTCAGCTATAAAAAATAAGCCACAATATATATAGTTACATGGATTTTCAAAAAACAATTGTCAAAATATCATGGCATATGTAATTAAGGGGAGTGTGGTCACCTAGATAGAGAAATGTGTTGGAGGGCAAAGAATAGGGAAGCTTAAAAAAAGTTTCTCAGACTAGGAAGATGCATTGGAAGGTAGTTTCTTCCAGTACTCTTTAGTTCCACCATTCATTGCTTCCAACTTCTCCAAACCTCCACCATCTGCATCCTCAGCCTCACCAAACGCTTCAGGTCCATCACACCAGTTCTCACCAGTCTCCACCTGGGAGTCTTCCTATCTCCCAGCAGATTGATTTCAATGTCTTCACACTCACCTATAAATGATACTTCAGTATTTCAGCATCTCTCTTTCCCTACTTGTTTAATAGCTCCATCCGTTGCCAGCTCAGGCTCACTGCACAGCTCCCGCCCTCTCTGCACCAGTATCGGTGGCTGAGCTTTCAGTATCTACACCACTAATCTCTGGAATTCTCTCCATCTCATCTCTCTCTATCTTTATTTATGTCAAGCCTTGAAACCTACTTCTCAGCTGCACCTACGGTCACCTCCCACTTTTCCTTCTTGGTGTCTGACTCCGCCTTTGTAAACACGACAAGATGTTATCCTACATGAAGGACGCTATATAAATGCAAGTTGTTGTTATTACTAGCTATCAAAAATCCATGTAAATTTGTCATTCACTTGAAGGAAAAGATCAGTTGCTGGGGATTCTTCTGACTTGGGTCCCATTAAATAATTAACTTCACCCACAAAATATACAGTCAATTCACTTTACAGTATATTCTGTGAAGCATTTGAGACATCCCAAAGATGTGATAAGGCGGTACATCAAATACAAGGATTATTATTATTAATAACCTTGTAAGATGAAGCCCTAACAAGTAAGGTTGAACAAGCAGCAGAAAGTTTGTAAGTGTTTGGACTAGTTAAACTCCAGCAGCACCACAATACACACTCTGGGCTCTCGAGTCCTTGAATTGTTTCCAACCTGCGATTACATGAGGATGGTGCAGCCATCTGGGAAGAGTTCTCTCAATTACTAGACAAACAGAACCAAACATAATAATAATAATAATCCTTGCATTTGATATAGCGCTTTTCACGTCGGGAGGATGTCCCAAAGCGCTTCACAGAACACACTGTAAAGTGAATTGACTGTATATTTGTGGGCAAACGCGGCAGCCAATTGCGCACAGCAATGTCCCACAAACAGTCGTAGATTGAATATGACCAATTAATTAGTGTTTTTGGTTTTGGAGGGATTATTATTAGGCTCTGTGTGGAGTAAGGAAACTTGCCCAAGGTTTCGCCCTGACCTGGAAATGAACTCAGGTCTCTCACTTGCAAAGCGAGTGCTCTAACATATTTGGAACTCTCAATAAATTTGGTTTGGAGATACCAATGGCATGATGCCAGGTTTCCATGGGTCTCTCACACCCAGCTGACCAAATAAAAGTGGAAGAAAAACACATTATTCAGCCTTAATAAGCTCAATGCCTTTCTTTTGTGTGGGAAGATTGATTCATCAAACATGTGATTCATCAATCAGGCATCTCTTGGGGATTCTCTTTGCATCTATTTAAGCCTTTATGTCCAAGGGCAGCTGGACCTTCACATGAGGGAGAGGGGAATAAAGGTATTGGCGGGATTAAGGAATGGGGGCATACTCGTGTGGAGTGTAAACACCAGCATGGACCTATGGTGCTGAGTGGTCTTTTCCATGCTGTACATTCTTTATAATACTTTGTATCACACAGAGGATACAGTTCAAGATCCTGGTCCTCACCTTCAAAGCCATCCACGGTCTTGTTCCCCCCTATCTCTCCGACCTCCTAAACCCCTACCACCCTGTTCGCTCCCTCCGCTCAGAGCGCTCCGGCCTGCTTCATGTCCCCCGCTTTGCTCACCCCACCATTGGCGGGCATTCTGCACCCACACTCTGGAACTCCATCCCGCAGTCCCTCCATCACACCCCCTCCCCCACCACCTTCAAAACCCTCCTCTTCGACCGTACTTTTGATTTCCCTGCTTCCCCCCCTGCCCTCCACCCTCCCCCACCCCGACCCCCAGCTCAAGTCTAACTCTGTCTGCCAGCGTCTTGGGACGTCCTCCCGACGTGAAGAGAGCTATACAAATGCAATTTTGTTGTTGGTGTTGTGAGGAGACTTTCAATTACTGAAATATCTCAAACATATTTTACCAACCAACAACAAAGCTTATTTGTGCACATCTTGTATAGGACTGAAGCATACTATATAATAATAAAATAATATAATAATCCTTGCATTTGATATAGCCCTTATCACATCTTCGAGTCGTCTCAAAGTGCTTCACAGATTATACTGTAAAGTGAATTGATTGTATATTTTGTGTGCGAAATGCAGCACAGCAGTGTCCCACAAACAGTCATGGATTGAAGTGACCAATTTATTATTTTTATTAGTTTTTGAAAGAATTATTACCCCTGGAAAAACGATCTGCCAATCAACTAACAACCGAGTTCCTACTTACTGCTAGGTAAACAGAGGCGTGTGGAGTAAGGAAACTTGCCCAACTTTTTGCCCTATATATCTCAAAGCACTTCACAGGATATATAAAGTGTAATGACTGTATATTTTCTAGGGATGCTGCTGGAGTTTAACCAGTTAAAATCTCACAGCAAACACTGACAAGCTTCCTGTGTGTCAGTCTAGTTCATTTGGGAACATTCTCACCTCTGAGTCAGATGGTGTTGGATTCAAACCTCATGTCAACAACAACAACTTGGATTTATATAACACCCTCCACGCTGGACGGCATCTCAGAGCGCTTCATGGGACTTTAAACTGGAGATTGGTACTCCAATACAGTCCTGGCAGGGTGCTGCATTGTTGAAGGTACAGCCCTTTGGATGAGACATTAATCCAAGGTCCCATCTGGCTGTTCAAGTGGGTGTTAAAGATCCCATGGCACTATTCGAAAAGAGGAGAGTGTTTCCCAGTTTCCTAGCCAATAGTCCCCAGGATAAAAATTTAAACTTTATGACCGTTTGTGGAACTCTGCTGAGTGCAAATTGGCTGGAGAGTTTGCCTACAAAATGCATTCATTACTACACTTAAGGGCGCCATAGCACTGTGCAATTGCCCGGGCCAGTCGGGCCCTGACCGTTCACAATGAGAGATTCTGCTTCTAACAATCTCTATGTCAAAAAATGTTTTCTAGTTTGGGAGTCGCCACTATAATACAGGTCAGGACAAAACCATTGTAGAGACCTTTATTTATTCTCAAGATGGTGCACAATACCTGGTTAACCTAGAAAGGCAGCTTTGTGGTTTTGCATTTTGTTAGAGACAAATCCTGACATTGTCAATTTATCCATTTGTAAAATGTGAACTCTCCCTTTTATGTTAATCTTCTTATAAAATTCCAAATAGTTTTTAAATGTTTGTTACGCCACACATATCTCTCAGAGGTCAAGATTAAATTGAAACAGTGATTGAAACAGCAGAAAACAGTACTCTAGCTGAAAAATAGTGGCTGTTCTCTCTGTGGGATAAGGAATCCAGCTTTTTATTCTCCATCAGAAGTAACTTCAATATAAAGCCAGATCCAGCCATGTGAAACAACCGGCGCAATAATCACTCAAACAGACAACTTCACTGGGCAAGAAAACTCTGGGCTCCAATCACTAAGTTTGAACAATGGGAAAGACGCTGTTGTGGAGCTTCTCGCTGTCCGCGAATAACTTAAGGAATAGTCGCGACAAGTGGGCCCATGGGAAACTTTCTAATATGACTGTCAAGTGCCTCAGGACATCCTCCTGACATGAAAGGTGCTATATAAATGTAAATCGCTATTGTAACTTAAAATAGAGAGATTGTCTAACCAGATAAACCGGAGAGAACAGGATTCTCTCACTCCAGGCAAACTGTTTCTCATTTAAGGATTTCAGATTTTCCTGGTCTGACGTAATTTGATCTCAACTTTATTAATCACTTAATAATAATAATAATCCTTGCATTTGATATAGCACTTTTCACGTCGGGAGGACGTCCCAAAGCGCTTCACAGAATGTACTGTAAAGTGAATTGACTGTATATTTGTGGGCGAACGCGGCAGCCAATTGCACACAGCAATGTCCCACAAACAGTCATAGATTGAAAATGACCAATTTATTATTGTTTTGTTTTGGAGGGATTATTATTAGGCTCTGTGTGGAGTAAGGAAACTTGCCCAAGGTTTCGCCCTGACCTGCCTGGAATTGAATTCGGGTCTCTCGCTTACAAAGCGAGTGCTCTAATCACCGAGCTACAAGACTCCACTTGACACCAGATTAAGTAGGTAGTATTTAGTATCATCGTCTAGTAAAATGTAGGGGCCTCAAACCGAGCCTTTGCTTTGGGCCCCTGAAAGGCAAACGCCGGCCTGACTACACTTGAAGCACTCGGCGACGTCCTCCTGACATGAACGGCGCTATATCAAATGCAAGAGTTATTAAATAGTTTCGCAGTCCAATGTTTACCCCATTAGCCTCATTGCTCGCATGTGACTTGTTCTTGCTTCCTGCTGAGAGAAATGCAGCTCCCTCCAGTGCACCCTCCAGGGACCTGAGTGTGTAAACGTTACCACATTGATGATCTATTGCGTCACTGGGGAGCAGCTGCAGCTCAGGCACCTGTCAATCAATAGGCTGAGGGCGCGGGAAGCTGCAGATGGATCAATCCATTGTCCAGGAAACCGGCCCCGCCCCCCCCCGCGCCCAGTGAGCTACTTCTAGCGCGTGGGGCGGGGGGGGAGGAGTTACACTGCAGGTGCTCAGCTGTCAATCATTAGCTTCCGGGCTGCCATCCCCGCCGTGTGTGGAGGGGCTGAGCGGCCAGTGAATGGGTTGTCCAGGTAACAGGTCCCGCCCACTTACCTGGGACGTATATATAGGTGGAGGCCACTCGCGGCGCAAACAGTCAGAGACGGTCGCAACACCTGAAGCAGCGGAGTCACAGATCAGTCGGTCACAGCGGCTTTACTACTACTACTACAACAACAACAGCAGTGAGATAAGCGGCGTTGGCCCCGGGCTGAGGCGATGGCTGCCCTGGTGTGTGGTGTGTCCGTGCTGTTGGGGGTGATTCCCGGCTGTGTTACAGGTTAGTTCACGCGGGGGTCGTGTCGGGGGGCGCTCTCTCTCACCTCTCGGCCCCTGTCTCCCCCCCACCCCCCCCCCCGGTTTGCGTGCGGTTGGAGTAGGCGCGGTGGGCAAACAGGTTCGTCGACGAAGCGCTGCGAATGCGAAAGGTAACGCCGGGGGCCACGGACAGAGAGGCCCTCCTCCCCGAGGAATAAAAGGTGGGGCCACGAGGAGGGGTTGGGAAGGTGTTGCTCGGGGGCTGCCTGGACTTTTGATCCGATAATAAAGCTTTCACTGAGGCCTGGACTTACCTTCTCGCCTGGGTTTTGAGGAAGTTTTTGAGGAAGTTTTCGGGGAGCAGCTTCCCCCCTCCCCCCTCTCCCCCCCTCCGCGGGTGGATTTTTTTGCGTGGTTTCGGTGATCTCACCTCAAGGCAATCTCTGGCCTCGGCCCCCACCGTACCCGCCGCTGCGGGTAAACCAGGACCTGTGTTTTAACTGAAGAAGTGAACTTTCTCCCTCTCCCCTTCTCTCCCTCTCCCTCTCTCTCTCTCATAGCAACATTCTGAGGTTAGGGTCAACCAAAAGTCTTGGTTGACCCTTAATCTCAGAAGACCCACAGGAGCAAATTCACTTCGATCTACACTGCCTCTCCAATCCACTTTTCAGTAAATCCAGTCAAGAAAGCGTTTTTGAGATCCCTCTCTCTCTCTCTCTCTCTCCCTCTTGCTCGATGATGTGGTTATTTATGGGTTAAATAAATGAGCTTTCTACAGCACTTGCCCCATTATCTGCTCTTTAATTACAGTTGAGTTTATTGATGTCCATAAATCTGAGGTAATGTCCAAAATTCTGTAGTGTGCTGCCAAATGGTTAAGTCCAGTAAACGCATTCAGATGATGGCCTTTGCTATCTACCTCTGTAAAGCATAATAGAGAAGTTTGCAGGGAATGAACGCCTATTATCTATTATTTGATCACTTAAAGAGAAGATAGTACTTGGGACTCTAAAGCTGCGATGTTCCCTGACTCGCACTGGTTTCCCTAGCTCCACCATTCACAAGCCGGGCGATGTTGCATAGGTGGGGAAAGGCAGAGTGGGTCACGGCGTTGATGTGCAGTAGAAAGGATAGTTGAGGGTCAAACAAGATTCCAAGGCTCCGGACTGGCTCAGTGAGGTGGGGTGTGCATCCTTGGACGGTGATGCTGTCAGGCTTGAGGTGTGGCGGTGCTGACACGAATCAGTCGGGGGGGGGGCCTCGGTCTTGTTGACCTTCAACTGTGGAAAGTTAGCTCTCATCCAAGACTTGATGTATACTACGCACAATAGAGCTTGCAATACAATTTACTTAGTGCCTTTCACATCTGGAGGACATCTCAAAGTGCTTTCAAACAAAACTGATTTCATGCAATGCTTGTGCATTAACTTTCATCGCATTGCATGTCTTGTGCTTTTAGTATTTTACCCTGTACAGCTGTACCTTTTTGATGGCTAATATTTTTCTGTAAATTCTTGGGTTAAATTGAACTGAGGTTACATCAAGATTGTCCTAGAAACTAATTAGCAAATGTAAAGTGGTATGTATGTAAGATGACATAAGTGCACTTGTAAACCTATTTTTCCCTCCCTTCTTCTTTGATCCACCAGCTGGTCGAAGCTTTGCTGGCGAAACTGTTGATAATAGCTCTGACTTGAAGGTTGACGACTTTGCTAAGGACGTACTCACCGGTGGATTGACTACAGTCTTCTTGCCGTTGGTCTACATTATTGTGTTTATCATTGGTTTGCCCACAAACTCAATAGCATTGTGGGTCTTTGGCTACCGAACCAAAAAGAAACATCCGGCAACTATCTACATGGCCAATTTGGCATTGGCAGATCTTTTGTTTATCTTTTGGTTCCCTTTGAAGATTGCATATCATGTGAATGGCAATAATTGGATTTTTGGAGAAGGCTTATGCAGAGTGCTTGTGTCTTTCTACTATGGGAACATGTACTGCTCAATTCTCTTCATGACCTCCCTTAGTGTGCAAAGGTACTGGGTCATTGTAGATCCAATATCTCAATCTAAGAAAAAGACTACAATTGCTTATGCTGTTTCCATTTCTATTTGGATACTAATTGTATTGGGTACTATGCCATTGTATCTAACTACTCAAACTGCATACATCACTAACCTTGATATAACCACCTGCCATGATGTCCTACCTGAATTGAAATTGTCTTCCACTATGTTTGATTACTTTACATCTTTGGCTATTGGTCTGTTCTTTTTTCCTGCAGTTTTGACCGTGATTGTATATGTACTCATGATCATGACACTGAAAGCTTCTTGTACTGAAGCGAACATTGGGAAAAGCCGTAGACGAGCAATTGAATTGATAATTACTGTTCTTATAATGTATTTAGTTTGCTTTACACCCAGCAATATAGTGCTTGTAGTTCACTATTATATGATAAAATTCTATGGCGTCAGCAATGTTTATGCTTTCTACATTGTGGCTCTTTGCCTCTCTAGCATCAACAGTTGCATTGATCCCTTTGTCTATTATTTTGTATCTAAAGACTTCAGAGACCATGTTAAAAATACAATGATGTGTCGTAGTGTGAGGGCAGCAGAAAGGATAAGAGCTTCATTCACATCCATGAAAAATTCCAAAAAGTCTAATATTTACAGATCTACAAGAACTACTAGTTCCACTGCTACGAGTAACACAAATTATTGAATCTTTTGAGCAATATTGCTTTTGTGGGACTTATTTCAGTTTGCTTTTTTTAGAAGCAAGTTGGATATTTATACTTGATATTCAATGAATATTTTGGATTACTGTACTCTATTTCCTTCTGCAATGATTTGTTAGTTGTCCTTTTCTGAGTTTAAAGGTGGATATTTTTGTTTCACAATTGAAGCTCAGAAACCACCTTCTAGATAAATTTGGCCTTTTTTATATATTTAAAGAAAAACTACCAAGCATTATAAACTGTGGGGAGTTCACACACGGCACTACATTGCTACCGTTCTTGTACTATTACATTATTTCTATTCTTGAGATTCATGTACAGTAATCAAAATAAGACTGATCTCATTTTAAGGTTAATGAAAAGTGTCTTAAATGAGTTGTTGCTTCTTTAGGTATTGGCCTGGAGCACCAAACAGTTTGTTTTGCTGTTTTAAATTTTATTTTTCATGATTAACTGACAAATGTATTTGTACAATTACCTTTTTAATATGCTTTTGTTTACTTGCATTTAAAATGATATTTTATAGTTGTCTGAGCTATATACAATAACTGGGAAATGTGTTTTTTGTGATAATGTACTGCATTTAAAGGTTGTGGGTGTGGGGGGGGGGCACTGAACATATTTGTTCATGGCCTTTACTAATATTTCAGCTGTAGCATCGAAGTGAAATTGTTCTAAAAACAATTTAGAGAATATCCAAAGATGTTGATTTCCCCAAAAATAGCTATAAATTAACTGTATTGCAATTCAGTCACTTAACCAAATTTGTAACCTGAATGTTTCCAAAATATAATTTGATTTAACCTGTTCACATTGGAGCCTAACTTGTTCTCTTGGTTTTATGGAAACTATTAGAAATGAATCTAGAAATTATACATTTTGAGTAGTAGGTATATGCAATTGAATAATCTGCTAGATCCCTCATAATTCAAGTTATATAGCCTTGAACTATTGTGTATATAAGCATTATTTAAGAATATAATATTGTTTTTGAATAAATCTTTGAAAATAAAATGGATTTTTTCTGCATTTATGTATGCTGAAATGTTGATAATTTCCTATGGACTATCATACCTCTGAGTTTCAACTTTTAATTTTTGGTATTGTTAAGACTGCTGCATGAGTTGCCTTCACCAACAGCAAGTCTCTTGTTCTAAGCTTATCTAATATCAGATGCTGCATCTTTTCATTGGAGCTACTAGCTGTGGAGAGGAATGTCTGTCTCTTAAGGGTTTACAGTCAGTTTGTGCTGTCCTAACTTGAAATGATGAGAGAGCATTCTCTTAATAAAAGCACATGTTTTTAAACTTCCAACTAGGATAGATGAGCTCCAGAAATCATACCATGGATTGGGAAAATGTGACTTTCTAATTATCGTGAATTATTAAGAAATCAAGATTGCCGTGCCCTTAATTCACTTCCTTGGTGTATAGCACCGCATTTGTTAAGTAAAAGTTTTGAGACTGGAAGAGTGACTACTTCTGAGAGGATTGTGTGTGCTTGTAAGTAATGAGCCTTTTTTTGTGTGTAAAAATTGCTTTAGAGATAGCCATTTAAAATACTGGCTCAGTAGGGACTTTGATAGATTGGATAAATGCAGTCTAACCTAGATTCCCTGTGTCTGCATTACAAAAAACATTCAGGAGCTCTTTACAGAATAAAAAAAATGAATGGACCATGTGAATATTATGAAGGCAAACAACCCAGCTAGCAAACTCCTAACCCCGATAAACAATGGCTAGTACTAAGTGATTTAACATTTTGTTGTGAGAGGGAGGTATATTGTAAGCAAAGCCGACATTGCTTTTTGGAGTAATAAGGATAATTGCATTTGTAAATCCTTCAAATGTTTCTGTCTTCAGAAATAAAAGCAAAACAAAAACTCAAATGATGTCCAAAGTCTTTTAGTGGAACCAAAAGTCAATTGAAAGTTAGTAAAAAGTACGAAGTGTTTATATTCTGTATCTTGACGCATCTTATTAGTTTCACATGTGTTCTCACTGAAACTAAATTGTATGGTTGACTATCAATGAAATATGTATTCTATTATTAACTGTAGTGAGTCAGGATTCAGTCTGACTCGTGATTTTCACTAGGCATTATATCATACTGTATTAGTCACTCAAATGCTAAATAGCATTGAATACTTGTACTGTCATGTTCTTAGAACGCTGCATACTTGCAAATTAGATTGTTAACTAGTTACTGCCAAAATGGGAAGCATAGAAAACTTTCTTTAGAATAATAGGATGGGGTCAGAGAGAATGATCCTGATCTTATGATGGTTATCAAGTCAGTCAATGTGGAGAGGGCAGATTCTGCTGTGTGTGACAAAAGTGGTCTCATTTGCCATGTTCTATTTAAGACTGAAATTTCAATCTGACTTCTGAAGAAAGTTTCATTCTGCATTCATTTTTACAGAACTCTTATGTAAAAACTTTATGCAATTGCTGTCAAGAGAAGTAATTTGCTTGATTGGCAAATCTGTCAATGGAACATATCAGCTTCAAGGTTCTCATAAAGAACATGCCCTACATCACTTCCTATCTCTCTAATCTACTTATACCCCACTCCTCTATTCACCCCCTGCACTCGGCTAACATAATCTGCTGTGAATCCACCACCCGCTCCATTCCACCATTGGTGGCCAAGCTTTCAATTACTGCAACTTCCATTTATAGAGCACCTTTCACACAGGATAAAATGTTTAGGAGCTCTGCCCTAACCTCTGGAACTCCTTGCCTGTATCCCTCTGCCACTCCCTTTTAATCTGTTTTAAGTTTCACCATAAAATCTACCTCTTTGACCACAGCTATGGACAACTCCCCCTTCTTCCTTGCTCAGAATCCAATCCCACCACTGTGAAATGTTCAGAGAGCCTTCCCCCACCCCCCCATAATTCTTCACTTCATGCTCTGTGTCAAAACATATTATTTATTATCTTCGATCTATCCATTTCTAGGGTGCTGGATGGGTCATAAACCTCAAGCTCCACTCCTTCCTTTCCCATGTCCTTCTACTCGCCTCTCCAATGCAGCACTGAGACTGTTGTCAAAGGCACCAAAGACATTCTCTCCATCTGTGACCAGGGATCCATTTGCCTTGTTGTTCTCAAACTATCAGGCATGTTTGATACCTTTACCATACCACCTTTCTATGTCTCTCCCTTCTCTGCCTCCATGGCTCCTTTCTTCATTTCACTCTTACCATATTTTCACAGTCATATGGGAGTTACTCAGGGCTATATCTTACACCCTCTTCACCATCTATTATGTTTCCTCCTTGGTAACCATCTGTAGGTATAGAGTTCACTTCGACATGCAGATGATTGATACCCAACTCTACCTTTCTGCCTGTATTCTGTATTTCCTATTCTAGGAAAAGGCACAGAGACTGATTATTTGTCTATTTTGACTTAATGGAATGATCAAACAAGAGAGTGATCAAACCTTGTATTAGAGGCATTTTTCAGTTTGTAACATCTGTTCACTTACAGTATTGGGGTGAGGCATGTCATAATGTCAGAGGTGTGGTCCTTCAGGTGAAGTGTAAAACCAAGGTCCTTTCTGTCTTTAAAGATACATGATGCTATATCAAAAGAGAACATTACTCCCCATGTCCTAATCAAGTGGCCTATTTTTTTTTCATTTATTTCATGGTGTTGTTAGTGAGACTTTGTTAACACACAAAATGGCTGCTGTTTTTGCCTGCAAAGATACATGTGACAATAATTACTGTAAAGCATTTTGAAACGTGTTCATGTTATAGGTACTATATAATGTTCTTCCTATATGAATTCAGCCACAGAGCCCAGTGAGCAAATAATGGTCAATGGAGCAGAACAAGTTTAATTGTTTCATCAAATGTTCCATTTTTTAAAAAAACATTGCCATTTTAAAAAAAATTCTCTCCACTGACATAGTCCTCTGTCTCTGGTCAGGTGTCCTCTCACTACAGTGCTGTTCCAAGGGCACTGGTTGCCCTTTGGTATCCTGCCAAGTAGCATTGTTTGTGTGTGGCAGTGAGCCTTGGCAGTGAGTCTTGGCAGGACATTTGACTGTAGAAGACAATCCTGCAGATTAATTGGTCAGTCACTTGATGACTGCTTGTTGGGATTTGTTGGTGCAAATATTTTGCACATAATCAACAAAAACTTGAACGTTTAGATTGTGAATATGCTTTGCTGCGATAAGGAGACATGATCTTTCCCCAGAATAAACAAATGAGCACTGATGTATTCTCAGGGCATAGTTTTGAATGAGTTTATGCTCGATCATCTTATTTCTCTAATATAATTAACCTCTGAAGATTTATCTACATTCAGCTGACACTGAGCTGGAGAATAAAAGAAAATGAATTTACCTCCCACAGACATCCCATGGGTTTGGCAGAGAAATCATGTCTCCATTTGTTCCATTTTTCACAATCTCCTTCATAAAATATAATACAGTAAACCCCCATCCCTGGTATCCAGAATCTACACTTAGTTGGGCTAAAATGTCTGCAACTAAATTTTGGATTTGGGCAACGCAGCCACAGAATGTTTTTCCTGTCCACCGGATTTTTTTCGTGCATATCATAAACGCGGTGCTGGTAAATGCTGGTATCGGCATTGTAATTATACTTAGCCGGCTCACAGGATCGGATCTGGAGTCCTGTAGCTCAGTGGTTAGAGCACTTGCCTTGCAAGCGAGACACCTGAGTTCAATTCCAGGCAGGGCGAAACCTTGGGCAAGTTTCTGTACTCCACACAGAGCCTAATAATAATCCCTCCAAAACAAAACAATAATAAATTAATCATTTTCAATCCACGACTGTTTGTGGGACGCTGCTGTGCGCAATTGGCTGCCGCTTCTCTCCCACAAATAAACAGTCAATTCACTTTAGAGTATATTCTGTGAAGCGCTTTGAGACGTCTAGAAGACTTGAAAAGTGCTATATCAAATGCAAGGATTATTATATTGTGTCTCTCCCCTACTCCACTTAGTCTGGCATCCCAGGGTTTATCTGTAATATATAGAATCATAGAAATTACAGCACAGTTGGAGGCCATTTGTCCTTGTATTTTAAGATCCTCAACTTTATCTTAAAATGCTTTCTCTTCCTCTCCAATATCACAAAATATAATCACTCCGCTTTACAATATATCCTGTGAAGCGCTTTGAGATGTTTTGAAGCCGTGATAAGCCTCTATATCAAATGCAAGGATTTTTATTATCCCCCAATGTCCACTCTTCACCCCCATGCCACATTCGATCACGAAGTCCTGTAGCTCAGTGGTTAGAGCACTCGCTTTGCAAGCGAGAGACCTGAGTTCAATTCCAGGCAGGGCAAAACCTTGGGCAAGTTTCCTTACTTCACACGTCTAATAATAATCCCTCCAAAACAAAAAACAATAATAAATTGGTCATTTTCAATCCACGACTTTGTGGGACACTGCCGTGTGCAATTGGCTGCCGCGTTTCGTCCACAAATATACAGTCAATTCACTTTACAGTGTGTTTTGTGAAACGCTTTGGGACGTCCTCCCGACGTGAAAAGCGCTATATCAAATGCAAGGGTTATTATTATTATAAAACATAGTCACTACATTGAACAGTATATTCTGTGAAACACGTTGAAACGTCATCCTGACATGAAAGGCGTATTAAGGATTATTATTATCCCCTTTATTATTATTATCCCCTTCCCTCCACCTTCCTCCATTTGTTTCAATGTTATGCTTAGAACATATGGGAACTTTCCTCCCTGTCACTATTTGCCTGCTATGACAGATGCCTGGTGCCATCTACTGGTTTCTTTTCCATTGCACTAAGTATAAGCTTAGTTTTTAATGGACAAAGGGTATGAGATTATTTGATGCAATTAATTTTAACCTGGAGTACAAGTTAATTTTTTTAATTGCAGTTTTGGAGTCCTGTAGCTCAGTGGTTAGAGCACTCGCTTTGCAAGTGAGAGACCTGAGTTCAATTCCAGGCAGAGGGCGAAACCTTGGGCAAGTTTCCTTACTCCACACAGAGCCTAATAATAATCCCTCCAAAACAAAAAAAACAATAATAAATTGGTCATTTTCAATCTACGACTGTTTGTGGGGCATTGCTGTGCGCAATTGGCTGCCGCGTTCGCCCACAAATATACAGTCAATTCACTTTACAGTGTGTTCTGTGAAGCGCTTTGGGACGTCCTCCCGACGTGAAAAGCGCTATATCAAATGCAAGGATTATTATTATTATTATTATTTTAACATTGTAACAAACACATTTGGTATGGAGAAAATAATATCCACATCCAAATGAAATTGAATCCTATCCCCTCCTACAGGCCACTATTCTTGGCCAGAATTTCCTTTTTTTAAGTCTATTTATATTGGGGAGCTTTCTACTACTTAGATGACGGACTGTAGGTGTAGTGCAATTTAGTAGGGGTTGTTGACTTGTGCCTGTTTAAGTCACTG